AACACACACTTGACTTTGTCTGTCAGTTAGGCTTCAGTAGAAGTGAGTAGGAAACAGAGTGAAAATTCATATATTGGAAAAGAAATGTGGCCATGTCTTGATGAGATTATGTCATACTAAGGCTGGATGCTCTGAAGTTGTGCCTAAGTTGCAGTGTAGTTGATGTCTCCTCAAAAATGTGGCTACACTCAGGGTCGTGATGGTGACAGAGATACCCACGTGGGGACTGCAGTAAGTTTGATTGGTGAACTTGGGCTACTTGTGCTTACTCCCACAAGTTCCTGATGCCAGCGGAGGTAGTTGAGATGGTGACAGAGATACCCACGTGGGGACTGCAGTAAGTTTGATTGGTGAACTTGGGCTACTTGTGCTTACTCCCACAAGTTCCTGATGCCAGCAGAGGTAGTTGAGAGAGAAGACAACATTAAGGAAGTTGAGACTCTCAGTAGTCTTCTCCTCTTAAGCCATTATGCAGCAGACCTTCTGTTCACTGCAACTGTTAATGCTATTACAGTGGTAATCTCCATTTAAGTAATGTGCCATAAAGCTGTTGTATAAGTGACCTGTATATAGCTCCAGTTGTGTAGCCCACAGTTTTCTGTATAGTAAAGTAAACACAATGTATACACAATTACTTTGAGAAATACAATTTAAGCATAATATGAACTGGTCATGTACAATATATACAGTACATCTATTGTTGTGGTAGTGATATCATCAGGTGAGATCTGATGCTCAACTATAAATCAAAACCTTCGGCATAGATGTCAACGGTGGGACTCCCATTTAGCCCTTGTATCAACTATAAATCCAGATTAATTCAATCATTATGAAGGACAATGATCTTTTCCTAATGTTAACCACACGGGTTTCAGTTGACCAAACCTTATTTTTTTTGTAATGTTATAAAGATTATTTTGGAAGGTGTGTTGGGCATTTCCACAATTCCAGTGATTGACCAAAGGGAGGCACCAATGTGGCAGGAACCAACTTTTCAAATGATAAAAGCCCAATAATTATCATCTATAAAATATGATAGATCAAAATGTCAGTAAGGTGGGCGTAATGACAGTAGCTATCAACAACAGTTTGGTGTTTGGAGGAAGTTGTGTCACTGGCTACAGTGTTAACTGCATCTTAAAGGTGTACTGCAAGGCTCCCTCTTAGCACCACTACACCTATTCTCTGTAGAGTAGTCTGAACCATATATTGTGCTTTCAAAATAAAGGTTGGGCACCAGGCATAAGCAGATTCATGATACTGCCATACATTAAAAATATCACATAGACTGCTTGCTACCCTTACTAAAACAACTTACAGCTGATATGGGAATAAAAACACTGTTATCTTCATACAGATTATAAAGCCCAAGTCTGGTCTGAATTAAGCAGGGTAAAAAGTTCAGTGCCAAATCTCAAGAGGACAAAGATAGGATTAAACATACAGTACTACATATTCAGTCAAACCTCCAAGACTCAACACTTTGTCCAGCAGCCACTCTCTCTCTTTCTTATACAGGTATACTTGACTACTTTACTCTTAGGGTCTAAGTGTCCAGAAGACTTACAATATTTGTAACTGTCACTACCTATTCCGTACCAGAAACCCAATCTGTTCTGTGCAGGTGCAAAATCTGGCTACGTCCTGAGAGGTTAAGGTTAGGGCAAGATGACTGGGTGAGGCGATATGACACTGCTCTAAATTGCTTCTTTGCACAGAAAAAATTGGGTAGGCAGTACTGATTGGGTAATGACAGTAACCACCATTGCTCCTCTCTTTTCTGTTCATGTCCTTTCTGTTTTGATTCTTTTCACCTCCTCTCCTCTCACATCAGAAACCACAGAGGGTATATTCCCTCAAAGATGACATGACTCTCCCTGGCAATGATCTTCTGATCAACCTCTGACATTAAAGCCAAGAGAAGTAAATGGGTGCAATTCATGACACTGTACACTTAAAATTCACTTTGATTTTCTTTTAAGTAGTTAATCTCTTAAGAAATAATGAAACATCCAACCGATTTGTCTTTACCTGCTTATTCAGACTCACAGGGTCTGGTTGGATCTGACACCTCAACAACAAAAACAAAACATATAACATAAAAAAGTGATATGTCACAATCTAAAAAAAAAAAAAAACTGAAGTTCAGGAAATAAAATAAAATAAAAACAAAATCAGCATAAATCATCACAACATTTAGATCTGATGCACTGACAAAATCACAGACAGAATCTTAGTCTCAGTACTGTTACAGTGATATCACAGTAGTTTTTTGAGCCATGTCTGCTGTTGCACTCATAAAATATTTATTCCACAAATATAATAATAAATAATAATAATAATAATAATAAACTTTATTTATATAGCACTCTACAACTCGAGAGCCCAGAGTGCTGCACAGTAAAACAAACATCGCCAAGTAAAACCATACTAAAAAATAATTAGACCATACTGAAGCAGCAAAAAACATAAACAGAGTAAAAACACAGGTATACAAAACAAAGTTATAAAAGTTCCATACAGAGATGGAGGTAACACAACAACAAATTAAACAACGAGAGAGGTGAAAATGGCCTAAATATCAAAAGCCTGTTTTAAAAAATACGATTTTAGGGCCGACTTGAAAACCGCTAGCTCAGTCTTAGACCATACCTCTAAGGGAAGAGAATTCCAACGACTGGGGCCATATACCGCAAACAACCGGTCGCCCCATTTTTTATATCTAGAACGCGGAACAGCTAGGGACAAGCGTTCTGAGGAGCGAAGGGCTCTACGTGGCACATAATCGACAGCAGGTCAGACAGGTATGGCGGAGCGAGGCCATGGATAGCCTTAAAACCAAACACCAACATCATAAATTTAACTCTATACCAAATTGGAAGCCAGTGCAAGGAGCAAAAAACCGGGGTGATGTGGACATGCCTAGGAGAGTTAGATAACAGCCGCAGTGTTGCCTCTAAGGCATTTATTTAGCTAATTATTTGTTGAAGTTGTTGTTATCTATTTTGGTGAAGGGCCAGGTTAATAATTCCATATGTAAAAAGAAATGATCTATTTACCGATTGGCATCGGGTGATGACGTCACTTCTGGTTTTAGCGATTTCACATTAGTAAGAAAGATGGCGGACGTAAGGCTCTTGTTTGCGGCATGTGTATTCATCTTCATCTGCTAGGAAACGTGATAGAAGTAATGCCGTAAGTTATGATATGTGTCAGTTGACATAGTATAGTTAACATTTGCTATGATTGTTTTAAAAAGAGTTAGATGTTACGTTGAGGAAGTTTATTTACAGTTGTGCATAAGCTAGCTGATGCTATGCATTTGAATGCGTGTTGAAGTGTACCACCATTTATAGTATAGATATTGGTTAAATAAGCATAACTGACACAGTGTTTATTGTATTGTTTATTTGCAGTTTTTACCGTGATGTTATGTGAAGAGTGGACAGTAAATGCTTTGATCTTGCTACAACCTCTTCATTGACTACGGTTTAACTCGGTGTTAAGTCAGTATCAACACGCTGCATGGATGGCTTTCTCTAAACCGGCGTGTTATAAAAAAGGTTTTGCCTTGGTTAAAGGTCTTAAATGAAAGAAGCTGGTCTTAACCACAGCCCTGATCTGCTTATCAAAAGTAAAACAACTGTCAAATATTATTCCAAGGTTTTTCACCGTTTCTGAAAGTGGGAGGGCCAAGACATCTAGGCTTGCTGTGCAAATATGGCCTCTGACATTAGATTGGCCTATCAAGTATTTATTTTTCACATTATTTGTTTTAAACAGTTGTGTAAATAAATTAAATAAATTGTGTTAAGCCAAGCTTGACTAAAGCTTAAAGCAGCAGAAGAAAAATACATCTTCCAAACTGTTCTTGGTCAACAAGTAGCTTAAAGTGAATCCTTCAATTCAAGAAATATAAGTAAGAAGCTAAAGGGAGTAAGGTATGTAATTTACAACTGAAATGGGTCCCTCATTCACTCATTCCCTATTCCTACATAATTAACACTTACCAACTTAACCCTTGTGCTCTGTATATATTATATATATTGTTGTTTTTAAGGTGACATGTGACTCCGGGTCCCACAGACCCGAACAGAGCACAAGGGTTAATCCATCTCTACTACTCCCTTTAAATCATTGCTGACAGGTGTAGTGTCACAAAACTGTACATTACATTTGTGTCAGATCTGAAGCATTGCATTGTGGTTATTCAAAGCGGGAAGTAGTGTACGGTAGATTTTGTATTCCATTGTGGGAATTTTTAGAGCACTATACAGCACATACTTTTTAAAGAGACAGAAGTCTGACACAAAATTGCTTGCTGTAAATATGGTGCACTTGATAGTAAACAGCAAGTGAATTTAGACCCAGGAACAAATCCTTTAGATACTATGGTCTGTCCGTAGGCAGGGAGGAAATTTTTGACAAAATGATTCCATCCATCCACCAAACAAGCACACTTGGATGTAATTTGACAGATTTGTTGTTATTTCACCCCTTGTGAAAACTGCGTAACAGTAACCAAGCAACCGACTTCTGACTACTGGTATCACATCAAGCCTTTGTCAAGGCATTTGTCAAGAGCTGCCTACTATGACTGCAAAAAGACTTTTGACTAACATTCAAATTAACAAACCACAGGTCACTTGTTTGCTGTCACAGTATGGCATAGTCAGTTCTGAAACAGTGCTGCCAAACAAACACATTTACAAAAACCTTTCTGTCACTGACGGTGGACAAAGTAAGGCCTTGCAAGGTCAATATAAACTATGTCATTGAACAGTGACATAGGAAATGATGGGAAGGATACAGACTTTAAGCCACTTTCTGAAAGGAAAAAAAGATTTAAATTAAGTAAATGAGCCTTTTTGCAGAGTCACACAATCAGTCATGCTCAATTTTAGACTAATCACAGTTAATCACACAGTGACACACATTGGGGTTGGG